CCAGTTGTTGTTCTCCCCAGTGTAACTTTGTGTCTATCTCAGTATGGGGGGAGGAACTCAAGTGATCATTTTTGGTTGTAGTGTCATGTTCTGGAGACGTATTCTGGTCAAGTTTGACGAACCCACAACTGACTATCACTCCGTCATAACAGAAAGTCACCTGTTTAGCAACAACTATCAGTTAATACCTGTTAACCATATTTGAATTTGTCAACTCCTAGCAGCGACACTTCGACTTAAGCAAGTACTGATTGTTGCCTGTTGGACAACAGAAGGTTATTGTGGCCCGGAGGCCTAATGGATAACGCTTTGGCATTTTAAACCATAGGTTCTGGGCTCGAGTTCCAGAGGAGACAATATCTCTCACTGGGAATGTAGCTACATGCGGTTGATGAGTCTCAGACAGGAGGATTCAACTGCTAGCCAACGTCACATCGATCTTTAAACATAGTCAAAGTGTCCATACTACGGGGAAAGATGACAACAGGCAAATTAACTTAAATAATTAAATTTTTCAGAAACTTTTCACTATGGTCTGAATATTTTTTGTTATTTTCTAAATGTGATTTCCAATTTCGTTAGTCTCTGTATATTGCTGATTGACTGACATGAAAAATTGGATATCACTTACATTAACTAGTAGTGCTTTCTAAAGAAATTGAAACGATCTGAACGCCGGATGTCCATTTCGCTCATTTCAGACCGTATACTGAGAATTTGACTAAGCGTGTTTCCAGTTCACCCACCCAACTGTCTAATCAGGACTAAGGTGGTTTGAAGTGATTTGGTTCTCTGAGCTGAGCCAAACTGACCTCAAACGAGCGAAACTGACTTGTCAACCGTTCGGTGTATGGACGACGTCGATCCGGCTGTCAAGCACCACCAACTGGTGTAAGCTGAATCCAGCTGATCACACCAATCAAAACGTGGTACATAAGAGTATGCACTTGCTTTCTTGATAACCATCTATGATGCCAAACAAATCACATACTTTGATTCGGATTGTGAAATTTAGCTCCACTTTTATAAATCAAAACCCTATAAACTCTAATATAAATAAAAAATTACCTTCTACTCCTTAGAAAATTATGAAAAGAACAAATAGTGAAATTGGATGGAGGATTTCATCATGAGCTGACATCAGTTAGAGAACCACTGGAAAACCTGGGAGTACTGGACAGCTGTTTCGTCCTAGAGTCCCAAACTAGAACGAAACAGCTGTCCAGTACTCCCTGCAGGTTTTCCAGTGGTTCTCTAACTGATGTCAGTTCATGATGTCAGTCCATGCAATCAAACAAAATCCCTACAAAACCAGTATACTTGAAATAGTGAAATGTTAAATACTTCTTTGAAAAAAAATAGTAACGCTAAAATTATATCATAAATTGCACTTACAAACTGGTTCTTTCCTTGGATACGTTCTCTGATGGTATGAACTGATACTGTGAGTTTGTTTTGTGTAATACATTTTGTAAACATCAGGAAGGTATAATGATGAAATGGCAATCGCAAATAGTAAAAAAGAGAAATTTAGACGAAAAGAAAAACGAGAGAAAAAAAAAGAAATTAATTTAAAGTAAAAAACAGATATTTATATAGGTAACATCATCATCACCAGTTTGAGTGTGTTTCATTTACACACGTGCAGTAAAAATATATATATGAGTGAAGCTGTTACCAACATACACACACACACACACACAAACACATATAGTCCATATTTTCTTAATAGCAAAAAGAATAGGGATTATTCCATTATCCTGATATACACCTTGGCGGACACGTGATTTAGTTTTTTGTCAATGAATTTCTTTGGATCACTTTCACACACTCTACACATCCATACAACCATAGATACAAACACACACATACATGCATACATGCAGTCATTACCAGTTTTCTCATCTAATTAGATAATTAGATAATCATTTGAGAAATCAAGTGATAATATATCTACAGGGCGTGAATACTTATCAGAAGAAAAATCAGCAAACCCATAGTCTTTATTATTGATTATTTCTTATTAGTAATTATTACTTGTACTGATATGAATGTAACTCCTTAAAAAGGTGGATATCACTGTTTTATATCATGGTGCTGATATTTGTTGATGTGATTGTCTGAAGTATCATTGCTTTTGAAAGACTGTTAGTAACATAATAGGTGATGTGCGTCGGTAAGCACAGTATTTATAGTCCAGTTGCTGTGATACTCAAGTTATCGGAGTGATATCACTTCTGTGCTTATTAGCTTTCATCATCTACGGCTATCTGTTGCCATGAGAACATCTGTACCCTTTCTATGATTTAAAGCTCCCTCATTCATTACTGAAATCGAAGAGTGTATCAGTAAGCTACTATTCAACTTTTTATTTTTCAACTTTTGATTATAGCTTGATTCCACACCGTATTTTTGGTACAAGTATGGAATTTTCAGCATGTGATATCGGTAGCCCAAATTTTTTGCAAGCCGACCATAGATATTAGGTGTGCGTCGGCAGGGGATTTAACCCTGGACCATGTGTATTTTTTTTCCTTCACGTTCCCAATGGAACATAGGGCTTCAAGCTAGTGGCTTGAAGTTTCTGTAGAAGTGTTTATTTTACAGGATGGGGTTGCTAGCCTCATGCCCAACCTTTCCTCTTCACCAGAATTATTTCTGGCTCAGCGAGGTAAAGGAGTGCGTCGGCTGGGGATCGAACCCCGGACCATGTGCATAGTCGGCGAGAATCCTAACCGCTGTGCTACCGACGCAGTGTGTGTCCATAGGTTAAGTTACAAGGTACTGACTGAGTTGCTCCATTTTATGATATAAGACACTAGAATTCAAATATATATAAGAATTAATGATATAAAGTGTTGGGGAAGTGTAGATAGATGTGACGGCTTTTTATAAGAACTGATTTCGATTGGCATAATGAAAACTGGAGTTTTATATTTCACTGTCTGTTCATATGTTACATGGCAGAAGAGGCAGTGAGAACACGACTTCAAGTGCATATAGAAAGACAGAGGTGATGAAGTTACCTAACCAACAACAATAACAACCAATCGCCATCAACGGGAGAAATCTATAGAAAGTCATAACTAGGTAACATCGTTCGAACTACTGACAGAGGAATAGATAAGGATTTCAAAGCCGACCAAGATCAGAAAAGCACAACATACCTTCAGTAATCTGGAATCAGTGTGAAAATATACTACACTCACTATATGGAACAAGATTCACATTTTCAACACTAATTTCAAGTCAGTACTTCTCTACGGTTCACAGACTTGGCGCGTGCATCACGAAAAGCATTTACAATGGGCTACTGCTGACTTTCATCATCAGAACTTGCCTTCGCTCCATCCTGAAGACCATGTGACCAGATAGAACCAACCAAGAACCTATGGCTCAATAAAAATGAACACTGAAATGGGGATGGATTTGACACATGCATAGAAGACCTCTGATTAACATCGGTCTCCGGGCCCTAGAATAGAATACGAATTGGAAATGGCGAGTTGAAAGTCCAAGAATGACATGGTGAAAATTGTAGATGGAGGAGATGGGAGCCTATGGGCAACTGTGGAGTCAGTGAAAGATGGCTGCAGAGAATAGAATGAGGTGTGGATGTGTTGTTGAATCCCAATGTTACACTTGGAACTCGAGAGAATAGTAATAATATCTTATGGATATTTCAAACTGTTTCAATTTTAACCAACCACATACTCCTCACCTTTTAATTCAGTATGATTAGGACTGACTAAGGAACACCTAGTTGGGCAGTTAGTGTTACAGTAAACAAACAGAAAATTACTACTCGTCTACACAACAGCTAGCTGGTCAATACCCATGGTGTTTGCAGTGTTATGTCCATAGTAAAGATCAGATGGCTGTACAAAAAGGATAAGGAACAAGAAACTCTGGGAACAACCAAATCAAGAACCCGTTGCCCAGCATGTGTATACAGAGAAATGAAGATGGACATAGCATATTCTGAGAATACAGTTGAATTACGTCATAAATCAGTCAGGTCCTAAAGTGAACCCCAAACGGGAAACGAAGAGTTGGGCCTTAGTCCCAATGTAACACAGAGGTGACCGTGTCAGAAGGAAAGGAAAGCTTATGCGGAATCGCGTAGCTAGCTAGCTAGCTAAAAAGACCGCAAAGAACAAAGTGAAATGGCGACGAGTTTTTTCGAAGTTCCATGTTTCACTCAGAACCCAAGGGAATGATGATTATTTCTCTGTTGGATGTGTCCCTAGTTGTGCTCAGAGTTAAATTATCACACTGTATCCTTCAAATTATGATAACGTTACAAATATGATGACCATTATATTGAGAGACGGTAGAATTAAATGACTGCCGAAAGTTTTCTGTAGCAAATGAGGGAAGAAAATGAAATTTGCTTATTTAATGCAAACAGGATATACTTTTTAGCTAAATTCATTTTTGTGTATGTTAGATACAAAATCATTTAGTTGGTAGACCAAATTATTTATAATCTTTTCCGTTAGCAAGTCGAAAATCAGCAAGTTGTTCACCCTGGATTTCGTGTTACTTGTAATCTTTAGTTGTTGTAAAAATGTTACAGGAGAAAACCTGCAAATGTTAAAAATGAACGCATCATAATCTAGCCCAGTTCATCGACCAAAACTAAACGTTATTTTGTGGGAGGAATAATAAATAATACAGTGAATAACTAAAGTCAACAAGATAGTAGATTAACAACTATACACACACAAGTAGCTGGACGGTGACACGTAAACTTTATCTACAAATTAAAGAGATATTTACTAATCAGTTAAATGTCATCATTAGGTTACTGAGTAGAAAACGCATACATATATGTTACTTTTTTACGTTCATTGCTTTCTAAAAATACCACTCAGGTCTTTGTATTCATACTTTCAACAGCTCAGGAAGTCGTCAGCAGCGGGAAAATATCAGAAGTCTTGTCATTATCAAAAAAATATTAACAGGCTATAAAACTAGATAATGTGACATCTTTCATATCAATCATGATGATGAGTTTTGATACTGACACTAAGGTCGATTGGCGAATATGATACTATCAACTTAAAATACTATTGTAGGCGACAGTTATTGTCTGCATTTCAAAGTTCACATATGTAGGAAATAAATTTGGGTTAGGATAAATATTCGACTATTATTATTTCTGGCACAGACAGACACTGACTGGTCTTATCATTATTTCGAAGATATGCATACAGAGTTAGCAAAGGTGAGTATTGATGATGAGACAGTCTGAGTCAGCCTTGAGTTAGCAGATTGTTATTCTTGTAATAGGGGTGATAAATGATGGTGACATGAAAATCTGGATGGCAAGGCAGATTGAACCAGCTCAGTAGGAATTACTAATTCAACGATCTACCAGCTGAGCTGCGACAATCAACTGCCTGCTATCCAGGTCGACATTACACTGCAATCACCACGGGTATTGACCAGCTAGCTGATTTGTGAACGAGTGATAACTTATTGTTTGTTTATTATAACACTAGCTGCCCAACTAGGTGTTCCTTAGTCAGTCCTAATCGTTTAGAATTAAAAGGAGAGGAGTATGTTGTTGGTTAAAATTGAAACAGTTTGAAATATCCATAAGATATTATTATTAGTCTCTCGAGTTCCCAGTGGAACATTGGGATTCAACAGCACATCCACACCTCATCCTATTCTCTGCAGCCATCTTTCACTGACTCCGCAGTTGCCCATAGGCTTCCATCTACTCCGTACACAATTTCACCATGTCATCCTTGGACTTTCAACTCACCATTTCCAATTCGTATTCTATTCTAGGGCCTGGAGTCCGATGTTAATCGGAGGTCTTCTATGCATGTGTCAAATCCATCCCCATTTCATTATTCATTTTGTATTGAGCCATAGGTTCTTGGTTGGTTGTATCTGGTCACATGGTCTTCAGGATGGCGCGAAGGCAGCTGCTGATGAATGTCTGCAGTAACCTATTGAAAATGCCTTTCGTGATGCACGCGCAAAGTCTGTGAACCATAGAGAAGTACTGACTTGAAATTAGTGTTGAAAATGTGAATTTTGTTCCATATAGTGAGTGTAGTATATTTTCACACTGATTCCAGATTACTGAAGGTGTGTTGTGCTTTTCTGATCTTGGTTGGCTTTGAAATCTTTATCGGTGCAGTTGAAACGATGCTTCCCAGATAATTTCAAGAGGTGATTCCCCTTTAGACTATTCCCGTCGATGGTTACTGATGCTTACCATTGTCAGTTAGGTATCTTTATCACTTCCATCTTCTCTATGTTCACCTGAAGTAATGTTTCCGCTGTTTCTTCTGTCAACTTGGTTTTCTTTAGTAAATTTGTCGATTTAATTGACACTGGACACAAATCGTTCGCGAAATCCATATCTTTTAGAGTCTTCTTGTCAGCCCAAAGTGCACCTGTCTTCTTGCACCCCATGGTCTGTGGCATGATCCAGTCTACCTCAGTCAAGAGTATCTATCACCCGTGATAGCAGGCATCCTTGTCATACTTCTTAAGTTGGTAGAGTGTTATTGATATAGCGCATAGCGCCTGACTGATAAAATGAAAATCCGGATTGTGAGAATTATTAGGGTGATGCGCCTTTTAGTAAGAATTTTAATTACTGCTCCTATTCATTTCTTTTAAAGCTCTAATTTATAGTGTGTAAAAGTCGATAAATTAGTCTACTAGCAGTCAGTCTGTTATCAGACGATTATTTGTATATACAGTATTATTAGAGAATGACGCTTAAGTTCATCTTAAAAAAAAAAAGAGATGCACACATTCTAATCATAAACTGACGTCATCATAAACTAGACCAACTGACGTAAAAAAAGGTGACATAACTATGATTGATTTAAATTAAATATTTACAGTATCACAGAATGAAATCCATTCACATGACACAGACGTAACAATAGTGTTTCACCTACCTAGCTGGTGTACTGTGTTGTTGTTGCTGTTGTTGTGATTGATAAGAACGATGAAATGAAGAACTTGTACTCAAGAATTGATGTGATTCTGTATTTGGTGATCGTCTTGGCACTGAATGACTTGGTGAAAGAAGATTTCTAGAATCGCATAGATTTTCACGTTGATGACTCTCATCGACCAAACTCATTGCACGTCTAAGATTTGCTAACTCTTGTCTAGCCGATTGTAAATCAGATTCCAGTTTCTTTTCACGTGTATACGACTCTCGATTATCTAATCGTACTGAGACTGCAGAGTGTGTCTTTAAAATAAAATAGAAGAAAGTCAAATACAGCATAGAACAGAAACAGTTATGTCAATAGACTTGAATTAATACTAGAATTACAGAGGATTATAATAACAAAAATATATCAGAAGTCTACGGTAAACAGAAAACATTATTTGGTATTAAATGGTTGGAGGCAATCGGCAGGAAGCCTTGCTTGACCTAGGTTTCGTGCTAGTTGGCATTCATCAGCAAGGCGTATCTGCAACCTTGAAGGAATTCATGTCCCTTCTGAGATTCTAACCCGCGTCACCCAGTGCTACAGTCAGAGACGTTACCACTGAGCTATTCAAGCTCGCGATTGACCTCCTGTAGGACTGTATTGGATATTTTTGATTGCACATTAGTCAGTAACTAGTGTAATGTGTCTAGTCTTATTTAATTTTTCCTTCTCTCTAGTGGTGTTTATCTCATTATATGCAAGAGCGGAAATCTTTTTGCAGGCAGTTGTGCTACTTACAATTCAGGAATTCGCAATCAGTTTTGTAAACACTTCATTGATGAACTTAAACACTTCACTGAGCTATGGAAGTCAACTGCCATCAAAAGCAAGAACAAAAACTAATCATGAATAAGGTGGACTTGAAAAAAAGCCTACATGTTTAAGTATTATGTTCTGCTCGTCACTTATTACATGACAGCGTATAATGTTATCCAGTTTTTGGAAGTATTAATTCACTTCTTGATAATTCACTGTCTGAGTAACTATAATACAATTCATTATTTGTCAGTATTCTCTCCACATCATCCTGGAGAGAATAAAGGATGCACTGGATAAAAAATTCCGCCCGGAACGAGTTGGATTCATGTGCTGATCAAATTGCGACTCTACGCATCATCGTCGATCAAAGCATAGAATGGCAGTCAAACCTCACTCTACCTCAACTTCATCGACTTCGAAAAGGCCTTCGACAGACAGCGTTGACCGAGAACTAATTTGGAAACTACTTCAACAGTACGGCGCACCTCAAGTCTTGATCAACCTCATTCAACAGCTATATGATAATGTCCCATGTCAAGTGATCCACAACGGGAAAGTCAGCGAGGCGTTCGAAGTGAATACAGGAGTAATACAAGGCTCGCTGCCTATTATCACCGATGATATTCTTAATTGTGGGGGACTGGATTATGCGTCAGAGTGTTCGGGGTGAGGAGTCAGGAATACGCTGGACGACTGATAAGAAGACTCTAGAAGATCTGGATTTCTAAGATGATTTATGTCTAGTGTTATACAAACTCGAAGACTTGCAGGCAGGCGAAAGCCAACAAACTGGTTGAAGAGGCAGCGAAAACAGGACTGCAGGTGAACACAGAGAAGACGGAAGTGATGAAGATAACCAATCAACAGCAACAAAAACCAGCACCAATCACCAATAACGGGAGAGATTTAACAGAGGTTGCCTCCTCCACTTATTTGGGAAGCATCGTTTCAACGACAGGCGGAACGGATGAAGATGTCAAAGCCAGCCAGCCAGAATCGGAAAGGCAAGATACGCCTTCATCAACCTGAAACCAGTTTGAAAATCTTCTACACTTAGCATAAGTAAGATTCGGATTTTCAACACCACTGTGAAGTCGATTCTTCTAAACGGGTCAGTAACTTGGCCAGCGTGTCACGAAAAGGATTTCCAACAGGTTGCAGACTTTTATCAACAGCTGTCTTCGCTGGCTCCACACTGAAGATAGAATGGCCAGAAAGAATAAGTAACAAGAAATTATGGAAACAAACCAACCAAGAGCCGATCGCTCAACAGATATGTAGGCAAAAGTGGAGATGGGTCGGGCATAATTTGAAGAGGCCGCCGAGTGACATCGCATGCCAAGCCCTCTAGTAGAATCCAAATGGGAAGCGACGAGTGGGTCGTCAGTGCGAAGGTGACATGGAGGAGATCGTGTGAGGGAGAGATGAGAGAGTTTGGTCAATCGTGGACCCAGCTGAAGAGGACGGCAGAAAACAGAACAAAGTGGAGATGTGTTGTTGAAGCCGTATGTTGCACTCGGAACGCAAGGGAATAATAATAACAATTTGGAAGGACGTTGTATGTTCACCTTCAAGTCACAGAGTTATTGTATAAGCTCATCGGCCACTGAACAACGTTTAGGCATCAGTTGTATCAACACTTTTGTAAATGTTTGCATTTAAACTTGTATTGCAGAGCGTTTTTGTCAGTGAATGTTTTTAATTCCAGTCTACCTTCTGCCTATCTTAGTCATAGTGCAAGAAGTTATAAGAATGTAAATCTTTTGTTACATGACCAGTAGGCAGGATGAAATACAGACTATGACTAAAATCTGGAATTTAAGGAAATCGAGAAAAACCATAATATCTAGATCGTTTATAGAAATAAAAATTCCTCTAAAGAACTAATATGTTATTTTCGTATACCATTTTATGCTACTTGTCAGTAGTTGCAGTAATAAATGATTAATTTAAGTTCACCAAAAAACTCTTGTCATGCTTTTTGGCCTTTTCAAAATATTTAATTGTTACGCATTCATTTAAGAAAATTGCATTTCTGTTCATAAAAGGCATTGTTTTTTAGCGCCAGACAGCACCTTATTAAATAAGTACATTTCGGTAGCTAGCTTTAGTTTTGAAGTTTGAAATGACGGGTGAAACATTCAATTCCCAGTGGGAACAACATCACTCACTGGAAGGTGCTGACATATCCAGTTGAGGAGTCTCACGTGGAACGAATTATGCATCCTGAATTCCACTGCTAGTCATTATCAACCAAAAATAACACCATATTAATCTTCCAACATCGTCGACATATCAACAGAGACTAAGGATTTCGCTCCAACGTACTCAATCAAAGTAGAGCGCAAATGTACCTAGACAGTAACGTCTTATTATCTTTCTCAAGCTCATATATTGCTTACCCATAGTCGCATAGAGCGTTATTCACAAATCTGCACATAAAGATTTCAATCACACCATTTCTCGATAGACCAAAATACAACAGATTTATGGGGTTTAAATTCTACCATCTTTTCAGCAAAATTTAGGATATCAAAACTTTGAATTTTGGTTAAACGAGACTTCTTATTTTTAATAAAGAAAGTTTTAGTGCTGTCACAAAATATACAAAGTAAATACTTAGTGCTTTGGCGTGTAGACTAAGTCATCACTAAACTGTCTGTGTACTTCTACTATCCTTGCCATCACTGGAGAAGGTACATTTGTTAAACATGAACTGCAAGTCCCCTTTCTGAAGTGTTGTCTACGAAATTTTCTTTTTATTATCTTCTGTCTCTAGAAACTCGTCGTAAGACGAGTTATTTACTTTGTGACAGTACCGCTGTAGATTACTCATCTCGTCCTTCTGTATTCTGTAGTCACTAATCGCCTACTGAGTGGCCTTAGTGTTTACAGTACATCCTGTGAAATTGTAGACTCTACAATACCAAAGGCATTAATGGGCTGAATCCTATTGTGATATTGTGAAGTCAAAATAATTGTCCCATATCTGAATCTTGCGATGCGAAAGAAATTCTCTGAGTTTAAAAGCTCATGAAAAGCGCCAAGTGCCTACATTATGTAAGCCTTTTACAACAATCATATCAAAGAATATAGTTGAAGAGCTGTTTGCAGCATAATGATAAATTTGTGTTGCTCGAGTTGGAATTTCTTTAGTTTCCCCAACTGCATAAGGATGAATTAAAGATTTTTTACATGGAACTGTTTGGGGTATAACCTAAGACTACTGAGAAGATGTACAGGTGTCAAAGAATTCTCAAATAAATGACAACTGTAAGAATCTCGTTAACACATGGACAAAATACGTTAGTAGGCAAATTAGTGCCTAGGGATTAACTCAGTCAAAATGTAGAGGCAAGGTAAAAAAAAAAGCCGTTTTCAACCTACTTGCATAATGGGATGTAGAATTTTAGACATTCAGTCTTCGCTCATTCAGATATCTGGCATCACTGTTCTCAGTTATAATGTCATCTAAGTAGAAACATCTTTTATGTAAGACAGAGTTTTAGCAATTTTTAGATATATGAATATTACTCGTTTTATCATTTCGTAACACATTCCTGTCAGTACGTAACTGCATACTATCAAGTCGCCTAATTATGATAAGTCTCTTAAATCAGTGGGGTCTCTTCAATGCTGCTAAGCAACTACTTGATACCTAGCCGTTTACTACGCAAGAATCAGTTTTATAGTAAAAGCTTGACATCACATGAGCTGAATTAAATAGTCAATTTTTAAGTCCCACAATGCTCATTTACTTTAAGTAATTGTGTTAAAAAAAACACGGATACTTACATCTGCAGTTCCACATTCCGGATCAATTGTCAAATGAATTTGATTGAATTTCCTTGGGGCAACTGGTGGACGTTGTTTAAGTGTTGTTGTAAATACTGTTTGATGATGTCGAGGAGAATTTGTCAACGATGCTGCATATCTACTTCCAATTGTATTTTTCCCAATATTATCAATTCTATCTGTATACAAGGTTGAATGTTTCTGATAATAATTAGAGTGTACAGAATCATTGAAATTATGTGCATCTGTACTGTAGCCAGTGACAGAAGCTGATCGACTGGGTATATATCGATTTTCTGGATAGACTTCCTCATGGAATAGCTGTTTTCTTTGTGTTTGTGATGAATGGTATGGTTTAGAGTTGTAATGCGTGGTGGAAGGCGGTGGGAGACCAGCAGCCATATTCATACTTGTTAGACGTAATTCTTCTAACAGACGGTCAAGTTCTTGTGTTCCAGCCATTATGTTGAGACGTCGTGCTGCTTCAACTAGATCTTCTGTCGGGTAGTAGGTTTTGACAATGGCTTCTAGATAATACAAACAAAAATAGTATTTTTTTATTAATTCTTCAAGGAGGAATTTATTCGACAGTAAGGCTAATTCACTGGTAGAAATGAAGATTTGTATTGGTGAATAACGTAGATAGAAAGGAATGAAGAGACTGGATTTATTCATAAAGCCATATACTACTCACTAACTGAGATGAGTAGTTGGACACCACTCACATCAACCGGTAGTACTTGCTAGCCAGATCGAAGTAATCTAAACACCAAAAGGCCGCTTTGCTTGTTTCGGACTAAGCCCATTAGTGGTATACCCGGTATGAGTCAGCTCAGAGAGAGGAATCAGTTCAAACTACCCGATATCTGGCTAGCTGGATATAATTCATCATGTGACGCTCATTCCTCTGATGTCTTCTGCAAAATAACGCAGATTCTAACATGTTTTATGTAAGTTTAAAATTATTCGTTTATAGACTGCTGAAAACAGTAGTGCTGAATCGGTATATGGATAGTTTGTGCGATATTGCAAATTAGTTTCTTGAATTCAGTTATTTTTCCGGTTTATTAAGAACAACCTCTCTGAAAGCACAGACTGTCAACACAGATCAGCACTGTACGAAACCATAAGCAGAACAACAATTTATCGAATATTTAATTCATTATAGTGGGGGATTTTAAACCTGACATCCTGATGGGTTAAAATCAATATTCAGTCAGTTTTGTGGTAATTCACAACCGATGGACAAAGTAATAGCATCCTTTAAGTAGTATGGCTTACTGATCTAGGAATTCAGCTTTCAGCTAGTGCATCGAAGAGGTTCGAAGTTCATTCCACCTATTGAAATTTGGGCAACCAGGTAGTATTATCACCTTCAAAAGGGATAAGCTTGGCCATTTAACGAATGTATAGTCATTCTTAAATGATTTGGTCATTTCCCTCAAAGTATTGCGAAGTTTGCATCTTACTAAGTAAATAACTATCGACAAAACCAATTCATGCACTGAAAAATTGTTGACGATAGATTTTATAGTGCATAGAAGTAACTTATCTGCCCAAATTGTTTACGGATGAATATTCTACAGACATTATTTCTATGGTTACAGGATTTCATCATGAGCTGACATTGGTTAAAGAACCGTTGGAAAACCTGCAGAGAGTACTAGACAGCTGTTTCGTCCTAGTTTGGGACTCTTCGTCAGTACGCACTCACTACAGGGGGTTCGAACCCAGGACCTTCTGGTTACAAGGCGAGCGAGCTAGTAGACCATTTAGCCACTGGGACCCGATGCAATGGCCAGCCGATGAATTCTAACTTCTGCCAATTCACGATATAGCGCAACAGCTAGCCAATGTTTTCGACGAGTATTTGTCCTCACACCCGACCTGCTGCACCCTACTGGTCACATTTAAATGACATAAGTGGCTGTTGCCATTTGCGATCTTTGTTTACTCCCTGTAAAATTAGTTACTTCTTGAACAAGAATACCCCCCTTTCTGCTTGATTACATAATTCGATTATTCTGCATTCCGTTAACGTAAGCTGATTAGAGACTCGGCTAATATGAATTTTTGAAAACAAGTCATTTGGGAATTTTGCCTTCAAGAGAAATAAACAATCCACAAGTGAAGAACAACAAAGAACGTAAGAACTAGAAAAAGTCTGGAAAGTCTCAAACTAAGATGAAATAGCTTTCCACTTCTCCTTGGTTTCTAATGATTCTCTAACTGAAACTAATTCATGATCGAACTTGAAATCAATCAAATCCCTTTAATTGATTAGCCTTTAAGAAGATGCTGATAGTAGTTAGAAGCCTGGTATTCCAGTGAATCGTCAATCAATAGACACATTGATATAGACAAAATTTACCAATCGATAAGAAGGAAATCTCACACACAAAGGGTCAAACTTCAGGTTGAGGAAGCAATCAGTACCAATACAAGTAGCCTAGAGGATGTGAAACCACGCGAAAACTACCAATCACGTTCAGAGTCACCAGGAGAGATGACTAATAAACTCGTGGAGAAATCTAAAAGCTCACTTCAACAAATTGAAGTATGCACTGAAGATGTTGCCTAGCAGGTCAATGAAAGCTTCGCAAATAAACTATCCAGCTCAGAGAACACAACTACATCAAAATTGTACACCGTTTTAATCACAGTTCTATAAAGACACGTCTTTGATTTATACAGAACCTAGCCTCAGATGTTCAATAACCATAGAACCAAGAAACAGCCTCAGTCTGACGCTGAACTCATTACTTTTTACATGATCATGATTCCTGAATGATGGACCCTATAGGTCTAGGAAATTAATGCGAAAATCAATAACTGTTTATTAGTTACGGGATTTCATCAAGTATTTTTCAAGTATTGGTTTTGTAGGGATTTTGTTTGATTGCGTGGAGGATTTCATCATGAGCTGACATCAGTTAGAGAACCATTGGAAAACCTAGGAGTAATGGACAGCTGTTTCATCCTAGTGTGGGACTCTTCATCAGTACGCACCCATCGGGGTTCGAACCCAGGACCTTCTTACTTAATGGAATACGAGCTAGCCTTCTAACCAGAAGGTTCTGGGTTCGAACCCCCTGTGATGGGTGCGTACTGATGAAGAGTCCCAAACTAGGACGAAACAGCTGTCCAGTACTCCCAGCTGGTTTCCCAATGGTTCTCTAACCAATGTCAGCTTATGATGAAATTCTGTGACCAATCAACCAAATCCCTACAAATCAATACTTGAATTGTTTATTACTTGGGCAAACGAATCATGAATTTTGTGTTCCGTGATTTACAACATTTCACGTTTGGTTCTAGTTTGTGGGCAGTATCATATTCATATATCACTATTACCCCTATCAAACAGTTCGGGGATGCTTTCTGTTGAGTCACTCTGTTTGACTGTCTAAACGAAAGCATGAGTCACAGTAAAATTTGTTCGAATTACCATCAGGTTATCGCTTAAATTATGACACGTAGATATTTACCATATTTCAAAGTTTCAATTTCAAACAGTCCCACATAGTTTAATCGGAAATCAGTCAGTCATTTTAATCTCTGTATGTTGAAGTGATCAGTCATAGTCGATTGAACGGATTGTTTCAAACTACTTATTCACACAGTGCCTAAGCAAAGCTCTAAGTGCTTGGAATGGTATGGAAACCCAGTTGACAGATAAGGCTTGTCGTTCAGTCGATAGAAAGATCGGCCAATAATAAGAACCTGAAAGCCTGTGTGGCCTCAATTTCAGTTATTCTCCTTCAACATATACCAGATGCAACCTTTGACATCTAGTAAAAAATAGTATATCTACTGGTCATTGGGCTATGCAGATGCCCTATCGTATTATCCCTTGGGCAAAGCTATTAAGACTGCTGACTAAGTGCTTCTGTTTTCTCTAACTTGTGCGTCGGTAGTTCACTCGCCTATTCTGGGATTTGATTCCCTGCCGGTGCAATTCTAGCTTGTTAGCCCGTGATACGGTAGGTCGCCCGTGAGGCTAGCAGCTCCACTCCTTGAACATAACCAACACTGCTACTGAGATTTAGAAATTTGAGGCCCTATGTTTCACTCAGGACTCAGAAAAATTTCTTACTACTTGCCCATACACTGCAATGAAAATATTGATGTATGAAGCAAATAAAAACATCCTATTCCAGACCTCGTTTGTGATTGGAGGATTTATTGTCCAATAGGAGATGAATTATCTATCCAGATGCTCACATAAAAGTGTGGCACATATTGCTCACTGTTTTGGCATAATTATTTTGCTGAGGAACTACTCGTGCATATTTACAACTTGTAGTTAGGACAGAGAGTGAAACGTCTGTTCAGAGCTTAGGTCATCTGATGAGTAACCACGACACTACACTGTATAGGAAAGATACAAGTTTGAGAGCGAAATGCTTCTATTCTAAAATGTCAACCTATATAAATACTAATACAGACGTCTGTTTTTAAACTGTTTGGAATAGATTAAACAAAATTTGTGAAATTCATTGGTGGCTTTTATTTTAATATTCTAACAGGCTGATATTCAGAACCAGACAATGCCCACTACCGAAGTCAGAAAGATTGACTAAGCTACCAGGATATTTGGATATCTAACATCTGCCAAAGCTGTTCCACAAATGGTCACTCTTTTAGTTTTGTAATCATATTGTAAAGTTGTTTCAATATAACCTGATTGACATTTAGGACAAGACATAATGAAGTTAAATGGAAGGAACCTGAAAGAAAGCAACCTCCTTTACCTATCTGGGAAGCATCGTTTCAACTACAGGTGAGCGAAACTGACGAGGATATCAAAGCAAGAATCGGAAAAGCAACACAAGCTTTCACTACTCTCAAGTCTGTGAGGAAGTCAACAACACTCAGCATGAAAATGAGAATAAGATCCGGATTTTCAACTCCAATGTGAAGTCAGTGCTACTTTCTGTGCGGATCAGAGACTTGCACTGCGCGTCATAAAGAGCATCTCAAACAAACTACAGACCTTCATTAACAGTTGTCTTCGCTCAATACCAGTCAAGATCAGATGGCCAGAAAAGATCAGCAACAGAGATCTCTGGCAATGAGCGAACCAACACAGCAGGAACTGATTGTGAAACAAATAGGCAGGAAGAAATGGAGATGGATTGGCTGGCCATATTCTGAGGAAACCATCAAGTGACATCACTAGACAAGCCATTGCTCGAGTGGAACCCGAAAGGGAAGCGGCGAGTTGGTCGTCAGTACAAGGGTGACTTGGAGGAGGTCATGTGAAGAGGAGATGAAAGCGTGTGGGCAGACTTGGAGCCAGGTGAAAACTTTGGCAGAGAACCGAACGCAATGGAGACGCACGGCTGAAGCCCTATGTTCCTCTAGGAATTAAAGGAAACAATAAATAATAATATAATAATAAATAATGAAGTTATGTAAGATGTTTAGGGACAATCGGTAGGAAGACCTGGACCTAGCTTCAGTGCTTGTTGACACTCATCAGCGAGGATTTGAAACCCGCCAGGTCATAAGGGTTTCTCATCGA